AGCGATCGCGGGCGCTGTCTTTAATTGAGAACCTCCACTTCATACAAGCCGTAGACGTCATGGCTATGTTAGCCGACCAGTGGGCTCTCGAAGAAGTGACGAGCTTCTCTTCGAGAATCCGAAAGAAATGTTAGTTCTACTATTTCGAGTGGAATTCTCATGTGTGGCGCAACACAAGACCGAAGAACGCCATCACCCTGGTGTTTTTGATCCCCTGGCTTCTTCAATACTTTTCTCATCATTCGATATCGCTCCTGGTGATCAATCATGTCTCAATACCATTCTATCCGCGACTCTAATTCGCCACTACTGGTCATTGCTATGGTACAGTTCTACACATGCGACATACGAAATATGGCAACGCGCGCAAACTAGCAGAGGATTTTCCGGCTGGTGCACTTAATACATTGCAGCAATGCTACAGATCAACTAGGTCCTGGTGCGAATGTCGCGCACGTGACCCCGCTATGAACGCTCCCTTCGCAGCTCTTGCCGCAACTCTTGTAGGACTATACTCGACCGCACCACACTATCATTTTCTATTAGTTGTAAGGGTTTATTAGAATCTATCATTTTCTCTGCTGTCACTCAATGAGTTCCCATGCCTAGGGCGTCCCACATCTTCTTCAAAGTGAAACATCTTAGACAATCTTTGGTGTATATGCCCCAGTAAAAGATAACTAATATTTAATTTACAAAAGCGCTTCATCAAAAACATACCTCCTTGGGCTGGAGGAGAGCGAATCGAGGATGTTCGCCTTTCACCACGGACTGAAGTTTATAGTCATCAGTGACTCGTAGCACAAGATTTGTCTTCGCAATCACATTCTCAAATGGCTCCACTGTGTTTCGTGGCAAGGCAAAATCTGGTTCACCACCACTTAGCAGGGCCAGAAAATCTCTTGGAGATCCTGAAAATGGCACTATAAACTTCCAAGGAGAGAAACTTTCCGAGAGGTTCTCAAAGGAATAGATCAAATCAAGACAGAGTCCGCTTTTTTTCTTCTAAATTCCTAATGGCAATAAGCCGAGGAGATCACATCTGATTTGCACGCCAATGTGACGAGCACAAATGGACGCGTGCGGCTGCGGTGCGACGTGTCCCATCGATCTAGGCATGCCTACTAGTAGACCACGCGTCACTTAGCAAAGATCTTTCGGCTTCAAACTGGCTTGCAGCCATTCTATCACAAAAATTACTTACCTGATACATTTTCTGCTTTGGATGCGGAACAGAACAAATCCGACTTGGTCGTAATATGTATACATATTTGTGTAGCCTAAATAAAAAAGTAAATAAAAACAAAAAAAATTTGATCAAACTACACTATACCTTCGTCTTCTCAAGAATATTACTATTTTCTCCCTCATATTTGTACAGTTTTGTCGGTGTGACTAGTATAAAAACGGCATTTTGGTGAATGGATGACACTAGCGGGGCCACCAGTCGCACATCGACCCTCTTCTCTCCTGAAAATTATGCTACCTGTTATTTGGAGCTCTATTTTTGAGGATCTAAAAGAAGGAACTATGAGCGCAAAACCCTGACCAGCGACTCGAATGAGCATGACCGGCGGATACGGGGACGTTAGTTCAGCATGTTTCAAAGTGCTTTTCACTGACGTGTAGTCTTCTTTAGCCTGTAATGAAATATTACATTACTATGGTGATGAGTACACCAAATATCTTGAGGGAACTATTCGGCTTGGGGGAGGCATTCGGCCTTTTTACTAGCTTTCCTATTAGTTCATGTCAACTAACAGGTTTTACTCTGAACAAGCTGTCAACTCGTATAAAGCTGCGAAGGCAAGTGAACCTACAGGAATCAGCAGATTAGCTGATTTTTACAAAGTGACCTGTACAAGCTTTGCTGGGTACCATTTGTTGCCCCCACCAAGCCGAAGTGCGCCGAAAGCCCTGTAGCTAAGAACAGGGTATGCTATAGATGTTGGGGGAGCAAAGCAATGCGACACAGCCTGCTCGTCTGTGTCCTCCTAACGAGATAGTGACCTCCTGCTCCAAAAGGCTCAGCCATGGAAGACGAATAGGGCCGCTGCAACCTAGGTCCCCTTCATTCCCTTAGCAAGTGGAAGCAGGGCACATCCTGTCCTTGGTTAGGAAACATGACCCTCCCCACAACTTCTTCTCGGACGAGTCCTCTCCCCCTTCTCTATCCCCATCTCGCCACTATCTTCCTTAATTTTCCCAACCTTCTAGCACTTGTCCACATTTTTTCCGAAATCCTCCACTTTCCCACTCTTCTTTTTCCTCAAGTAAAAGCTGCAATTGAGCGCAGGTGGGGGTGGGGGGGGGGTAGATTACGCACGTGAATCAGGAAAAATCGAGAAAATTAACAACCGCGGAACACATTTCAGAAATAGAAATACGACACCCCCTCCCCCCCCCCAAGCATTATACAACCCACTCCAACGCACGACAAGCTCTGACCTGATAGATAAGGTTAGGGTGAGTATATACTAGCTGTGCCTTATGAAAAAACGGCTTGGAAACGACCAGCGAACGATGCGAGCGGTGGCGTGGCGGTCTATTATAATTCGTCGAAGATGCGAGTTCCAATTTTGTCTACTAACGCGGCTCATTGAAGATATGCAAGCCGATGGAATCGTTTAACAAAGACGAAGAAAATTCTCCAACCTGCAAGCCTTGTCGAGCGCTTGTAGCAATTGGACCGCCTTCATCTATTATCACAGGTGCCACCAGCGAGTCACGCGGGTCCTGAAAAAGAGCGGTGAGCTTCCGGGGGGACGTTCATTACTCTTCTACTTACCTCCTCGATTTTTACGGATTCAGTGTCAAGGGTTGTTAGCCGCTCAGTAGCAGCACGTGGACCTTTACTTGTTTTCTTCAGTCGAGGTCGTTTTGGAGTATCGAGTCTTGAACAGAAGTTTTCATTGGAGCAAACTCAATAGACACAGGATATCGACGAGATTGACCATAGTAAGGGAAATAAATTCATCCAAAGACACGTCCGGCGATGAGAGATTTTGGGTAGCGGGGTTCAAATTCGGTTGCCAGGGTGGCAAATAGCTCGACAGTGAGAAAAAGGCAGAAAAAATGTTTGAAATGCCCCAGATAGGTGCAAATGCCGAAACGAGCTCATGTTTGGAGACACAGAGAGAAAGAATTTGAACAAGTTTTCACCACCTACACCATATTTTAATCCTACCATCTTTTTTTCACTGCAGAATGTGCCTTTTTGGAGAAGAGAAGATAGTGGACTCGAAACATGACTCCATAGGGCGCCAGTAACCCAACAGTTAAGAAACAAAAAAAACCGTTGGGAAGGCCTTCAATATGACCCCTTGTTAAACCCAAACTTCCAGCATCCAGGCGAACGTTGCAGACAAGTTCCTTCGAGCCAGGAGCCAAATCATTCCTAGAAGCGATGCTGCAGCGTGCCAGGTCAACTAGCAAGGAGATACTCTGCTAATTCGCGCAAGATCCGCGCCACGGAGCCCTGAACTACACTCCGAAGTGAATGCGCTCCTCAGATCTGCTGACTTGCGCATGATGCCGCACCTTGAGGGCCTAGACTGCCTCGGGGATGAATGGGGACCTCAGTCGGGAAACGGGCAAGAGAATCGTAAATTGTCGCTTCGTCGGCGTTTCCTTGATTTGTACTACCCTTTCCATTGGAGCATCGGATTTCATGTAGACAAGGACATGGAGACACTTATGTCTATTTTTGGTCATACATTGTCTATTCTCGACCAATACCACCTAAAATCGTCGTCATTAGCGGGCGCACGCGACGCCCACTGGCGCGGCGAATTACGATTCTCTTGCCACATACCAGCCTCGGTCACGTCACAAGGCAGTCGAGAAATGTTTCTTCAAGTTTCCTTTCAGCCTATTCTCAAGAACAGTCAGTCAGAATACAATTTCCTGAAAGGCACGCTCCGCGTTCATTTTATGTTCAAACACCTTCCTTAGGCATGTTTGTCTTGACCGCAAGCATAGGGTACGTGCTACTTTGGTAGCTCAAAAATACGTGAGTAAAGCGGTGTTCTGCTCGCGACGAACCCACCGCCCCGCCCACTGGCCACCGCGACGCCCAGCTTTCACTTCTGGCGTATTCTCTGCTATGCGTTCTGGCTTTCTCAATTTGGAATGATGAGCGTGAGTCGATAAGGGAAACAGCTGACACCAGCAAGTGAGAACTCGTCCATCCACGCCTTTTCTTCGGCTTATGCTCGTACAAGCTCGGTTCTGTGTGGGGTTCTCCAGGCATTCAGAGCGGGTTTTTCTGCTTCTTCTTCACTTTCACGTTATTCTTTGTCTTAGTATTTGAGCCGAACTCACCTAACTGTGTCTACGGCATTATTCTTGGGATAGATTTCTCACATTTCAAGACAATGGTTCATGAAGGTTAAAGTGTGTCTTAGAAAGCACTGGCAGAGGGTTGCCCGACGCTCCACACCCTTTTTTTCAGACGAGCTTCAGGTTCCAACTAGC